TGAGAATATTTCGCCGTTTACTGGTAGCCGTGCTTGTCCTCGCTTCACGGCACCCAGAAGCCAAACAGTTGCTAGCGAGCATACAGCATGCCATTAGAGAGAAGAATAATTAGAAGTGTAAAAAAAGCACCCCACTGCTGAGATAAAAAAGCAGTATTAAGCCGTGAATACACGACGAGCCGTGGACGAGTATTCTCATCATGTCACACTCTCACTTTCAAGGCATCTGATGTTGTTGGAGATAGACTTTTCTGGTAGACGTGCCAGGCCTAGCTTCTCGGCACCCAAAAGCCGAACAGCTGTTCACGCACAAACAACACGACACAGAATACAAGAAGAACGAGAAGAAGAGTCAAAGAAGCTGCTGCAGCAACTGAAGTTCCTCTCTCAACCTCTTTGAAAACTAACATGTTTCGCTCCCGAGTAATATCAGCCACACCGCCCCCGAGATGGAAACAGGGATTGCAAAACTTGATTTCTAAGAGGTCCTTCGGGGCACAATTAAACACAGGACATGAAAACGCAAACTGGCAAATAGTTACGGTCAATGTATTTGTGTATCGCATGAATCTGTGCCTCCTCATGCGTTTATATCCTTCCCTTTCTTGTGCAAATGCTAAATAAAGGATCCTTTGCCGATGCTTTCAACTGTCTCACAATAAGTGTTACTAGGTCATGTAGGACACTACTAGGTCATGTAGAGCAGTCGAATATGATCCCATTTTACCAATGATCATGTAATAGAAAATTTTGGCTAATGAGTTGTGCAGGTGAAATTTGCGAAAAAAAATCAATATGTTTGGGTTTTTCAATAAGTATGTAGATTTAGCAAGCGGCACTTAAAACCAATTACCTGTGTCAGTCAATTCCAAATAATGACTTCCAAGTATTGTAGAAGCACTCTAGGAATTAATTAACATTAATACCAGAAAACATCGGTAACAGTTTTGAAGAGTCCCAGATTAGTCTCATGAGTACTGATGTATTTAATTCCAAATTAATTTCATACCAGCTTCTGTTATCGATTGTAATGATCCATCGTTTGTGAATAATGAATCTGGATCATGCATAATGTGTGCTTTCATCTCGACTGAGGAACATTCTCAATAAAGAGAATAAAACTTGTAAAACCCAAAAACGTTGGTAACATTCCTCTTCGAAATAACAGTCAGCAGAAGGCAACAAGCAATTTGACTCTTCCAACTAGCAGCACCACGGAGAAATTTAATTGATAAGAGAATAAATCTTTTGTAAATCTTATAACTCTTCAGTTAAGGTCTGATAAATAATGTTTAGTGCATTTGTCCTGTGACAAGAAAGAGGAATGTTTACTTAATACGTAAACTATTCAATCAATTTTTATCACGAAAATATCCCAAACAATATAACACAGTACATGCCCGTCACATTGAGCCAAATAATTTTTCAGGAAATTAACCACTTCAACTTAATAACAGGTTCGACAACAGCCAGTCCTGGTGTCAATTAGGTATAAAAATTGTACATAAAACACTGCACACAATCGTTTCAAGAGACTTACTGATTGTTGAGATAACCCCCCATTATCCGGAATCACTGCGCACACTCGATTTGAAGCTCGTGATATTTTCACCATGATTACAGTGGCAGTTGACCCTACATCACGACCTTCTGTACACACACCACACGCCCTTATCGCGCCAGGCGAGGTGCACACGTGGTAAACGTCGTTATGGGCAGGTGGTTTGCCAACGATTCGTCGATCGTATCGTAGGTCATTGGTGAGCACATGAAAGCACCTCAATAGCCGCAAATTTTCCAATTGAGTTACAGGATGAAAGCTCGTGGCACTCTTCGCCAATCCGTAAGGGCGACTCGATATGAAATCAGTGCACGTCAGAATCTAATGATCCCTCACATTCAATGAAAAAGATGTAATATGAATAACACATTCCACATTGTGCCGCAATTAATCATTTGAAAGTAGAAGAATTCTTATTTTTCAAATACTGCACATGTTTGCATTGAATAATCACCGAGCAAAATATTTTTTAAAAAATCAAATTTTTAACTGTGTGTCACGTCCAAAAATTAAGGAAAATCATAGAATTATCTTCTTATACTCTCATAAATTGTCATTCGTTGGTTTTTGTTCTTAAATGAACTATTGTGCACCACTGATTAAGAATTATTTTTGACAGATCTATTTTTTGAAGAACACGTTTTATTAAGAACATTATATTTGTCTTCAATATTGTAGTTGCAGGAAGACGCAAATTTTTACAATTTTCGAAAATTCAGAGAGTTTAACTAAAATCAAACCTTTTTATATTTTGCTCCACACGAGAAAAAAATAATCCAAAGATTTGAATCCCTTTTCGATAAAACATTAAAATGTCGTTGGGGCGTAATGTAAAATACCCCCAAAAATCAAAATATTCGTTTCACATTGATATGGCCTCCAGCTCTGTCAGATGGATAGTGGAATATGGATTTCTGAGAAGATCGTCTGAACGGTTTAGGCGGGAGCAATGATCAAAGGCTGACGGACGGACGGACGGACGGATGAGGCAGAGCGGAAGAGACAGACTTTTGTCGTCAACCCATTTTTGGAAATCAAGATGCGACAAAACGTGAATTATGAGTGCACCATTCGTTAGAGGAAGCGCGAGGTGTATGTCTGTTGTAAATACTACTCGAGCGATTCTTCTGAATAAAAACTTAATAGTATCGGAAGTACTTAAAGAACATTTTGAATTAAATCTGACATGTGGGTGCGTTGTTTTTGCAAAGTTCGACGAGGTGAGCTGTACATTGTTCCCAGAGAACCTTGCTTAAAGTGCAATCTATTGATATCTTTTTAAACCATGTCTCGCTTCGACCCACAATATCGAAGATCGAGTTGCGATTTAGAAAGAAAGGAAAAAATGCGGGAGGTGCACAACATTATTCGTATATTTGATTTTTAAAGTGAAGTGTAATATAAGGAAGTGTAGTTAATACATAGTTTAAGTGTAGTTTTTCCTTTTTTTTAACTTAACAAAATAAATTTATTTTTAATTCAAATTTTAAATAATACATTACAAGAGCGAAGCATTGCTGGGACCGCTAGTTTACTAAATAGAGAAACAAGATTGATCCACTTTTTTGATATCAAGGACTCACAATATTAATATTTCGCACAAAAAATCACCACTTTGCAATGCAGATTTAAAATAATTTGTCCTTATAATTGAATCGACTACTTTAAAAGGGAAATAAGTCCACGTGTTGATATATATATTTTTTGTTATTCTTGAAACTATAGATAAGAGTAAAAAATTAAACTTGCCCAGCTTTAAGTATGTGTTCTATTGCTAACTAAAAATTTTCATGACTGGAAAAGAAAGAAGTCCAGGACTACTTTCTTACCCCAAACAAAATAACTAGTATTGTCAGTTATGAAATGCCTAAATGCTTAGTGACAACAGAAATAGAAACTGAGGACATCACAGATTTCAAAACCTGACTGCAAAACCTGGTGGTCGAACTATTTTAAGAAGACAACCAAGTCTCTTGCTCGCCCTGGCAGTCCTCATTGTGAGCTTGGTGTGACTGTTTCCAAGAAAAGCAGCTAACGTATGATAGAGAATATTGTGAATACCTCGTGGCACGTAGATTTATAGTGTATATTGATATGCTTATCAAGTACTAATTCATGTTGTGCAAAGTTAAGGCACATGCAGATGTCTTAAAAAAAATTTAAGGCTCGTCTTCCAACCACCGTTTAATAAAATAATATGTACAAAAACATTTCAATAATCCCAGATTCTGTATATCTTCACTTCTAACAGAAAGTTTTGACATAGCCGCAGACTCAAGTGGAAATCGATAATGGATAGATACTATTATTATACATTTAGCAAGAGTATTTTTCATATTCACATAGAACAATATATTAATTCACCTCATTATATATTTATTCTATGAATATATTGTTGCATAGGTCTAAAAATAAAGAAATATAATAATATTTTTTCTTTTCAATATTTTGTAATTATTTTATAAAGAAAATACGGCACAGGGTATAAAAACGGGTTTATATATCACAGAAATGGGCATTTAAAGTTATAGACTAGTCCAAAAAATCAATAAAGACAAGTTTCACTACTTTTGTGCAGAACATATATATCCGAGATGCCAATTGTAGATGTTATTAACTTGTTTTTTCTCAGAACTATGGACCAAGAGCATTTCTCTTTTCAAATCACCTATTCAATCTAATTACTCGTACGTCGAAAAAGTGCCCTCGCGGTTTAGCTTATTAGTCAGCTCCATGCTGCGACCCCAGGCTCGATTTCCTGTCGGGCATTAATACTGTACGCTTTCCTTGCAATGTGCCAGTATATGTTACTGTGTGACATTGCGATGAAAAAAATCGCTTCTCAGATTGAGAAGACCAGAACAAGGCGTGGCGAAATCTTCGCATTACCCACACGTACCCCCTTACCCCCTGGCGGCGAGGCCGGGACGCTGCTGGCAGGCACTGGCCCTGTACCCATTCACAATGCAAACATAAACATAGGCACGGCTTTAACATTAAAGTTACGTACGTCCATAAGCGAACTCAATCACAATGCGTCCGCATAAGCATAACACGTAAGACTTTGCAAGCTTCAAGCTTCTGTGCTTATGCTAAAGTAAGACATAAAAAATGAACCAATCACAGTACGTTAACTCAAAATCGAGAATGGAAGTCGATAGACGAACTAATGCCACATGGGCCATGGAAACAGTCGATACCTCTAAATCGATTCTCAAATCTGACCAATAGTAAACTAGAATTTTCACAGGCCAATAAAAACTCTAATTTTTGCTTACTTTTATGTTAGACATTGTGAAGGTCTATCCCTACGTTAATTATTTAACCGTCTGTGGCGTTTGTGGCTAGGTTGCATTGGCGATGGGCCTGAAGGTGCCTTGGGCCTCAAGAAGGCGCTTGCCTGTACTCCCGCGAGGCGTCGTCGGTAGTTAGGGCACGGGCGTTGGGGCGGCGAGAGGTCGGGCCCCTGCAGCAAGCCGGCGGGAGCGGGGCGGGGGGCGTGGCCGCGGGGGGGCGTCGAGGCGGTCGGCGGGGGGGGCGCCCGCGGGGCGAGGCGCCGGGCGACGGCGCCGCCGGGGGCGACGGCGCGGGCGTGGACGGCGCCGGGGCGCAGTCGGGCGTCAGGCACTTGCACACCCACTCGCCGAAGATGTCCACCGTCGGCTGCAGCCCCCACTCCGACCGGCACACCTGCCGCCGAGATCTAGTTAGAACTACTCTCGCCAGTACAGATTACAACAACACGCACAACAAAGGAGATCACAAACAAACTATACTCATTAGATTATTTTACTTTGAAATATAGCACTACTTTTAAAATACTTTTACAAATTATTTGAAATTTCTTACAAGAACCAAACAAGTCCAAAATTCCATATTTTGATATCTTTCACCAAACTATATCCTACAACTGGCGCTATCTGCTGAAATATTTGCTTTCGGCTAGTGCCAAACACATTGAAAGATATAAGATGGTGAAAAATCATAAACTCATTACTACGCACCCACGTTATGAAGTTTTGGTGCCTCCTGAAAAATATAGAATTTGGACTAGCTTGGTTCTTATAAGAAACCCTGCATTCGATTTTACTTATTACAACTACTTTAAACATTACAATATTAAACAAAACTCACAAGTTTCGACAAAAAAACCAATAAATATAAATAAATTTATTGTGATACTAGTATCACCTCATTGATGCACGAGTAGATCTTCTGAACGTGTCTTCAACGTGAACGATCATCGTATGAACGTATTACCTTGAAAATCTATTTAGTCAACAATTTCCTATACTTATTTAATATATCTATTAATCAAATAAAGCTTATGTTTTATCAAGACAATTACTTACCTCTTCAGAGCTACATTTATTACCTTTTGTTAATACAATAATCAATTTCGTAGTATGAAATACTAGAGTTGACAATAATGTTGGGTTTAAAATCGAAGAAGTAGTTACATTATATATTATCATTATGTCTACAATAAGTGTAATATTACTATCATTATTAATGTGTCCACTACCCGGAAATACTATAATTCCCATTCAACATTCCCCTCTCCTCTCCTTTGGAATTACGAAGGCCATTCTAAAGTAAACCAGTTAATTTACTCATATTAGTCTCGCAAATTAACGTGATCAGCGAGATGTCCCCGGGAATCTGTGACGGGAAAATACAGAAGAGATAGCCATGCACACGGCTCTCATATTTTCACGTCCACCATTGCAGTATCTCTAGAATGAAAAGAAAGTATCAGTGTCGTAATTATTCGTTTTCTCGCCAACAAAGGTGTAAAATTGAATGATGTTTTGAAATGAAATTCTCGGAAGATACCACGAATTCCATTGAGACCAGAAGTGTTGAAGTGGCCTTGATAGAGGGGAAAATGAATGCCAAAATGGCGTCCGGGGAGTAGCGTCAATGAACGCAACATTCAAGCTTTCATTGCGTGAGCTTCAAGGCGATCGCCGCATTGATGTTGCTCATATTGCATCAGAGGTGGGTGTAACTGTCCATACCATTCTATCGGATGGGGAATACTGTTGGCTCGCCGGTATGGATGGATCGGATAACGGCTACCGATTCACAATGTCATCCTGCGTGACCGCACGGTCGCATACACTATCTTTGACTCCTGATTCATCTTCGAAATTGCACTGGCTTCTTCTATAGCACGCGCTATGCTGTTGGGTCGTGATCCCATGTAACTATCAAATGTTTGGTGTTCTAAAAGAGGCATTAGGTAGAGAAATATTTGAAGATCACGCTGCGGTGAAACAGAACGTGCCCTATCTGCTACTGCGGCAGCAGTCTTCTTTTTTCTATAATGGAATCAGAAGTCTCCTATACGATGGAGAAAAATATATTTCTCTTGAAGGAAATTACGGTGGAAAAAATGTAATCCATTTGAGTTTTATGTATTACTAATACTCTGCTGTACAATTCCGGTTCAAATTTGAATAACCTAAGTATTTGCAACCCAAATAATTCAGGATATTAGAATTTAAAATGTACCTTCACACCAATATACCAATAATTATTGTGCGCGAAAGGTTATTATAAAACATCAATTTTGCAATGTCATTTTCTTTCCTACACCAATGCGCCAATACGCTCTATTCATGTTGTTCTCTTCTCGGTTATCGCGTTCTCAGTGGAGATGTGATAAAATTTCATTCAGCGAGGCAGCTTGATTAACGTCTGGGGCACTCAGACTCTCGTTTAGTTGAGTGTGAAGCGAGCACGCGGCATTTAAGGGCAATGACCTTTCCTGTGGTAGGTCGATGACCTCTCTGGAGCTCTGCGTGCGTACGAACATGTCTTCTGCAGCAAAGGCCACAAACCCTCCAACCGCAAGGATAAAAGGCACTTCGTTTCTGATGAAGGGGACGATTTTCACAGGAAGTCTCTGTACTTGACGTATAACATTTGATTCCACGACATTTTTTGCCATTCAACAAATCACGTTTTGTGCACGTAATTAATAATAGGTTTGTGAAAGGGTACGTTAGATGATGGTGACATTATATTCAATGCCATTTGCATTAAAAAATATTCAAACTTAAGAAAACTCAAAATTTTGTATTCAATAACTGTAACCTCAAACTCAAACGTTTGCTTGAAGAGGAAATGTTGACAGCCTTGCAAAATAGATTTAATATATTTTGAAACAATTACACATTTCACTAAAGATGAATCCAATAAAGTGAGGGCTTACACAAACGCTTAAGTTTTCTGGTGAAGAAATGAATTTTAATTATTGGCGAATTTTGAAGGTGACTCACTGTATTTACACAAAAATGTATATCTTTACCTTATTTTACTTAAAACAACTTTTACTACAAATTACTATTTACCACTAACCTCGCTTTAAAATATCCAATTCAATAAATGAATTTATTTAATACTTTTGCACGTTAAAAATACTTTCTTTCAATCAAGAAAATATGAAAGAACAAAGAATTCAAGAACATTGTGTTTGAAAAATCCGTTTCAGTTTCTGTTACGTCGATTTAAAACCTCAAGTCAAACATTGATCTTTACATAGAGAAAAGGGTCAGTGAGAGAATTTCGATGTAGGAGATTTCATCAGAGCATCATCATCATCAGCCTTAATGCACGCCTGCACTTCATTGCATGTTCTGCATGAGTTGTGTAATTTTTTTTGTCTTCTGCATATCGACATTCCGTGCTGTTAATTACGCGAAACAAGACTCTCCGCTCACGGAAAGTAGCGTGCATTCATAAACGTCATGAAGGGCATTGCGTTGCCGACATTGCCACCTCCCACTTGTATGTCTAAGCATAAGTTTGTGAAATTTCGCACGCAAATGTGTGCAAAGCTTTTTACTCCTAGAGTTTCTATTTTGAAATGTGTGCGGTGTGAAAAAATGCTATCCTGTGAGTGGTTAAGTCATGAATAATTAAAGGAAACAATTTGCCCTGTACTATTATTGGTAAATTCAATGAGAGAAAATTGCGGTACTAATACAGGCGCAAATATGATAATTTGTATAATATCGGGGATTATTTGATGGCAATAGAATAGACTTCTCAGACAAAATCTGTAGATTTCTAGAGTGTTTTAAATATTATGTAAATTTGGTAACTATTGGGACAAATGAAATAAACATTTTGGTGAAAGTACTTTGTTATTGAGATACGTTGCCCCTTTAAAAGCTGTTATTTGTTAACATTGATTGTTAACTGTTTGGTAACGTCGTTTTTAATACTTTGTACATGATCCAACTTTCAGATTTCTTCAAAACGCATTTAATTTAATGTATTAAAATGCGTTTTGAAGAAATCTGAAACCTGGACCGTGTAGTGCGTATTAAAAAATATTCGATTTCATATCAAATTCAATATTTACCATCAGTGTACAATATGTGTTTTGATTTTCTGCTTCTCTTTTGTTTCTTAATATTAATTATAAAAAGTTGCTGAAACGTCTTTTTTCTATTTCTTTTCTTTATTAATTTTGTTAAATATACTATTCAGTAAATTTGTTTTCCCACCACCTTAAGATTCAATTAAATTCAAAAGTACTTTATATTTCTTTGAAAATGCATTTAGAAACGTTAGCTAGTGTTTTTTCATAATTTTAAAGATAAAATTATTATTTTCGTCATTTTAACTGCATAAACTTGTATATTTATTAAATTTTACTACAAATGTTGTGGTACATTTTTGCATTTTTAACTTCATAGCCATCCAATTCGTACTCTTGATACATACTAATTTTCATCATCGCAGCCAAACCATCGTGCTTAGTCTTGTATTGTGCAGAAAAAGAGAAATGGCACACTAAGATCCCGCCGTCTCTGCCATCTCCGAGCTCTTTTGTCGTACACGTGGTCTTATCCCTGCTCACACAAA